TTTTTTTTATTTTTTTTTAATATTTCTATGTAAATTTTGTAAGCTTAAACCGTTTTGTCAGTTGAGGGCATTTTTTCAAAAAACATCTTTAAGAAAGTTTTTTATTCATAAACCACTCTTTTTTGGAGGTATTTTCAAATCGGTCTAGCTCGCTTAAATCTTAATATTTTTCCGAAATATTTTGGTGGAGGTCTTGAAATATAATAGAATTTATAATTTCAATGGAAAAACAGTACCGATTTTTTTTCGTATGGGGAGTGATGCAGTCTAATGTACATATGTTCGTCCCTTCCAACAAATTGAGTTATTAGACGCAGTACAATTATTAAGAACATAAAATTAATTAATTTGTTTGCAAACAAAGTGACAACTGAAATCAAAGGTCAGCAATTAAGAGGGGTTTTACATATGCTAAAATTTGTCAATGTAAGCAATTTAGTCAATAAAATTGGTCTTAATTAGATCATCACAATTTTCTGACAAAAACATGGAAATTTTTAATAAACGAATTCAGTGAGATGTTTGTCGGAATAATTTCATAAGTGATTAATTTACTAATGCTGGATTTGCACTAGCCATTAAATGATAAAAATGTTTATTATAAAGTTGGGCATCAAAAATGATCGCTAGAGGAGCCGAGTAGACTCAAGAGTAACGACCAGAAGCAGAAACTGATCGGGATAAAGGAAAGCCCGTTATTCCTGAGAGACACTCCGCGAGATAATTTCTTGCCTTGACAGGACCATAACAATTTCTATGATAATGAATGCGGACCAGAGCACATCTTTTCTGCCACTGCCCGAGTCTAATTAGGCATGGACCACGAAATACATTGCACTGAAGAGTTGCACGTATGTAGATGATCTGAAGCCAGAGGAGCCTATAAGTGTAGAAAAAAAAACTATTTTTTTAGTATATGAGAAAGAAGGATCTATAAATAATAAAAAAGGTCTTTTGTTCAAAAGTTCATTGCACCTATGTGATACCTGATATTATATTTCTTCCATTTGTAATTATAGAGTATCTAACTAACATCTTATAAAATTCAAATTCATATTTCTGTTAATTTCTTCTTCTTCATGATTGTCTATAATATTCGCTAATAAAAAAGTAAACTCAATATCATTTATTTTTGTATCCTTATTTTTCTATTTTATCGGAAGTTCTTAACGGATATAGTCACCGTAAAGACATCTGTGTCATAAAATAGCTCAGATATGTTGAGACACTTTTGTAAATGTCGAAAGCTGAGTGGAAGATCGACCTATCCCTATCGCCCTATCTCAGAAAATGGTTCAAGAACGGCCTACTTCAGAATTTGCTTGAAGTACGCCCTATCTGAGCTGCCAATATATTGAATTTACATTCTCCAACCATATTCTGAGCTAGAGTTTTCTTGAAAATTTGCTGAGATAGGCGTTTTCGAACTAGCTGCCGAGATACAGGTCGATCATCCACTCAGCCGTCGATATATAGCGTAATTTATATTTGATAGATAGTAGAACAGAATTTTTATTACAAAATTTACCGTAAAAATCAACTCTTTATATCTTTTTCTGAAATATCTTAAAAAGGCACCGACACCTGTGTTTATATGCACCGACACCTCTTTAGACAGCTTGTGCCATTCGAGATGCAATCTACCTTCAAATCATGTGACTTATAATTAAGTCCAATCCATTGTTGCACTGTTCATGGCGCGGTGCGCAAAAATCAAAAGTAGTTTGAACAATTGCAGATCGGAAGCGAGATATGGTCGCAAATACACATGTACATACATACGTACACATATCTGTATGTAAATTTTTATGTCTGATAATGAAAGATACTATCCAAATGTGAGTGGGTAGTGAGCACCAAATCGAAAGAGAGAAAAGAAATAATAAAGTCGCGAATAGAATATGTAGAAGCGCGAATTATTTTCTATTTGTATGCAAACGTATCAATATACTAGCACTACATAGCGGTCGTTAGCACAGACACATAACATATTACGTCTTAAAAAATTTTCCATGAGTAGCATTGGTAAGGCTGCAAGCCAAAAAGCTAAGCTGAAGTAGGAAAAAAACAAACCAAAAAAAGGCGAAATAAAAGCAATTCAATTGTAAAAAATACCATTAGGGTATTCACAAGATGTCGTAAGCGCCATAATGTCTAAAAGGCGTAAATTTTTTCAATGAAAAATAACGGTTAAAATGCTTTTAGAGCATTTTTAATCACACCAAAATGTTGCTAAACCGATAGGAAATATTTAGATAGCTTTTATCATACCCTAAAAATCCCTTTAAACCGTTTCAACCGTTATTTGACATTGAATAAATTGACGACTTTAAGACACTACGACGCTTACGACATCTTGTGAATACCCTAAATGTATAAATATGCAAATAGAATACCAGGCAAATGTACGTGGTGGACTCACTAGCGACTATTAAAGTATGTATGTTAGCTGCGGGAGCCGCGCCAAGACCCAACCGTTGGTGTCCAAAGTGCAAGCTGGAGCGCGAAACGCACTTGTGTGCATATGGATTGTGTCTGCTTGTTTGTGTACATTACCGTAAATAGGTAATCTTTATGTGCAGTAGTATTTCAACAACGCTGATTGTAATGGCGCTATAAATGTGTAATTACAAATTTCGATTTCGACTAGTTATTCAGTAGTATTTGTTAGTGCTCTGTGGTCAGTGCCAAATGTGGGCTTGGCAGCACACTCAACTGCTGGCTATTTTTTTTTTATCAGATATTTTTAGTTGGTCTCGCCCACTAATAACTGTCATAAGACATCTATTTATAACGCTTTTAGTGGATATAAACAAAATTACACTGTGTAGCAAAATTTGGGAAAGTGGCGCAAATTGGTGGCCATATTACTTATTTACTTAGGCTAATAAAAATTTTGGACATCAATGAAAATAATTGACGGCAATTTAGCTTTCCAAATTTAACTAGTAGGACATACTTTTTACTTAATACATTTTGATACAAGGATATTTGTTTCTTGTTTGGGACTAATTTCTTATGATGCGAGTTGCTAATGCTGAAATTTTTCAGTTTAAATAAGTAATTTTTTTAATATCTTTCATGATCTTGTTTAACTAAGATATTTGTAATTTAATAACTGACGGAATAAATATTTCAATTTAAACGGGGTAATAGCTTTTTATTTGAAGAAAAATAGGTTTTATTTATATTTTATAAAATTTTTCTTAACGACTTTTTTAAGTTCTTTCATAAAAGACAATCAGAAAATGTAAAGATTTTTATTAACAGAGTTGCCCACTGAGTTTTTTCATACACTACTTTTTTTAGTGTTTTGGTATTAAACGTGTAACTTTTTAATAGAAATAATAGATATCAGAAATACAGAAAGAGATGGCGATGAAATATTGAAATTTTCGACAGTCTTAATTTTTATGATCGGAGTTGCGAACGTTTGTAAAAAATTTAAGAAAAACTTACGCGTTTCAGTCATTATTTGCAAGGACTTTTTTTTATGAAACTTCTGAAGTGTTAGAGTTGCCATTTATATTCAGCTCGAAATCTTTATATTTGCCTACATTTTCTTTACAAATATTACTTAAGACTGGCTTTCACTATTTCATACTTTGACGACATATTTTGACAGAACTTTATCTCCTTTATCCATACCTTTATCAATGATATTATGGGCAAAAAACAGAGAGATAGCCGATTTAGCAGCGCATGTACACGACCAAAGACCTATCCTGATCCAAATCAATCGATAAACCGCTTTTTAATTCCATTTGGCAATAGGGTTTCTCTTATTTGACTACAAATGCCACTGAATTTGACATCAGCCTTTAGCTACAAGAAAACGGGTTTCATCGCCAATTCTTCCTGACATGTTTCTCCTCAAAAATTACTTAAGAACAGCGCTGTCAGCGGCACTTAACTTTTAAACGATTGAAAACAATTTCATAAACAAATGTTTAGGGTTGCCATGTGTACAAAAAAATTTTAATCGAAAAAAAGAAGTTATTTTCAAAATTTGTTAAACACCTTTTAAGTTTCAACAATCAAAGCTGCACTCAAATCGTAACAGAGTTGCCATATATATTTTTATTTTAAGTAATTCACTCGAAAATTAAATAATTTTACTCAATTTAACTGAGTTTGGTAGCATTGCCATGCAAAAAAAAAAACAAATATATAAAAAGGTGAACATGAATTTTATCTAATTATTTTAGTTTATTTTTTAATTTTACTAAAATTGTAACAATGTTGCTCCCTTTTTATTTGAATAATTTTTACGCAGAAAAATATATTTTTTTTTGTTCAGTCCCAAACAGATACTCCAGAAAATTGTTAATTTGCCGATTGTAAAAATTTTATCACGAACTAAATTCCATAAAAAGCGATTTTTTTAATTGTGTTCGAAATAATTTTTAATGAAAATTAAACTCTAATCAAATGTTTTGGAGGTAAAGATTTAAAATTATCCGAGTGAAAAATTTGGAAAAAATCGACATATTATCTTTGATCCAAGACCATGGGTACTGAGCTCTTTACCACGATTGTTTTTTATGAAAAGTTGTTATGAAAGTTGCGAAATAAAAATTTTGAGCTAAGTTAATAAGATGAAAAACTAGTATGCAAAGTATCTAAAGTTCATGTATTTTGGAAAGAGTTTTCGCCAACCTTTGTCAAATGTGGTTTTTAGACAAACCAATTTCGGTGTTGGGAAATTTCAGTGTAATTTTTCGTTGCAGAATGAAGCAGAAAACCCGGTTTGTCTCCAAACAAAAAAGTTCCTAAATATGATATTTGTTCTTTTTTTTTTTGTATTCTCGATCTTGATGATTTTATGAAATAAGGTGTGCTGAGGAGATAAAAAATTAGTCAAAACGGTAATTAGCTTTTGTATTAAGAATAGATAGTTGAAGTCACTGAAAATTATGTTTCTTCTTAGAATAGTTCATATATTTTTTTTATCTTTGCCTCAACCTAGTCTAACTTAGCGTAAATTTAATTTTGCATACCGCTTTATTCGAGCCATATCTCTCGCCGTTGACAGCTGCCTCCAGCAGGTGGGCGCTCTCCTCCTTTCCGTCCACCTTAGTGGACGCATTATCTGTAGATACTGTTGACATGTTGCTAGCGATTGGACGCTTGCACTGTTTGAACTTTGTTTTTCCTCGAGCACTTAGAATTATTTAATACGCTGCTGGTTTTTAGTTTAGCGGAATAAAGGTGACGAGTAGTAGATATGTATGTGTGCCAGAAGGTAGTATGTGTTGGCTTGTAGTCAAAACGAGTGAATTTCGGTTATGTAAATGCGTTTTTTTTTTATTGTTTATTGAATATTTATGAATTTGAGCTGCGAAATGCACTTCTTTTTCAAGTTGAGGAATGATTTAAAAAAAAAAATATTTATTGGCAGTTTTTGCTATTTAAATGATGAGTCTTCGCTCCGTGTGAAATTTCTTTTCGCACTCTGATTTTCACAAGTGTCTTGTTAGTGTTACTTTAGCTTCTCTTTTCTTTTTTCTGTTTTGTGCTTGTTTTTATTTGTTTAGTTCCACTTTGCTTGCACTTCAATTGTATGTATGCCCTTCGTATGTTATTGTCAATGCCTTTCTAAGTTGTTGTGTAATGTTGGCTAACCACACAGCCCAGCTCAGCTCAGCTCAAGTAATGCACTTCTGCTGCCGCTGATTGACGTTTTTCGTCTAACTGTTAACTGCAGCTTCATCCACCAATTGGAATTTCTAATGTCCGGCACGCCGATGCTTAATGTTTTGCTACTCGGTTATTCTATTTTCGGCTTCGAATTATTTTCGAGCGCGCTTTTTCACTGTAGATATGCTTACGTTTAACGAGCGTTGCGCCTGTTCTCACGTTATTTTGTATCCTTAACACCCACACTTTGGCAATGAATAATTTTGACGCATGCTCTGTAGTACCATGACATTGACGTTGTATCCTATAGTTGTGTTTTATTTTAAATTTTTGTTTTTGTGTTGCTTTTTTATTGCTTTTTGTCCTTGCCGTTGATAGGTAATTTGCTTATGTACATACAATACTTTAAAATACTACGTAGTAGCCCTTATATCTTTGCCGCGTTTTGAGGTTTTTCCCAAATCGAATTTCTTCTTTTAGATTTTTTAGTACTTTTTTCTACTACTTTTTTCCTACTACCTTTTTTAGTACTTTCTTTCTACAACTTATTTCGCGTTTAAAACAAATTGAAAACCTTAATCACCACGTATTCACTTAAGCGATTGCTTTAAAAATACTTAGCAGCGCCTCGAGATCCTTAACTGACTAGTTGTTGCTAAACCTGCTGCTATTGTCTTTTTTGTCTCTGCAACTTATCCGGCGTTCTTGTGTATTGCTCAAGTTATTGCTTAACGCTGTATCCTTCTGATATGTTATTTCACACAGCTTTTGATTTACTTCCTGCTCCGCTTTTGGTTTTCTCTATACACAATATTCGAACGGTTTTTATTTCTCCTTTTTCCTTTGTGATTTTCACATCAATATGAATACGTATCCAGATATGTTTATTTACTTAGCAATTGCTATTTATTTTCGAGTTTGTTGAGTATATTTTATTTTTTACACGCTTATTTTTTTTAAGTTGTATTAACTGCCCGCTTTAGGCTTTTTCTTCCAGTTAAGCGCGCGCTAAATTGAAAAATCGTATCTTTCTTCTGCACGACGTGAATGCTTACTAGTAAATGCTGCAAAATGCGCCTCTCGCATGAAATATAAAAACTTTTGTGTCTGCCTTTCATCCATGGCAGTGCGCTGCGGCGCGTTGATTGGGGTGGCGGTGGAGGGGTGCGCGCGCTAAATGGTTATACGCACACTACAGCTTTAAAGCGCTTGCACTGTTCGGCGGTATGGTGGTATAGGTGTCGACGCTTCTGGCGACTAGCTAGGTGCTTGTGTGTAGCTTCTGTTCCTGCTATCGTCGTTATGGTTTTTGGTCGTCCGCCTCATGCGAGCTCATGTTGTGCGTCAGTACATAAATCGCGTGCGCCTGATAAGTATTTCGCTCCCAAGCATGTGGGCCGCTCTTCTGTGACGTCCACGCCCTCTCCAATGACTTCGCATAAGTTGCATACACATAAATATATGTGTATGCATATACATATGTATGTATGTATGTATGTACCAGTCGCACACACCTCCTCAACATCGTCGACGACACCAGCTGCAAAAGCCTTAAGCTTTTGTTGAACATAGTTTATACGCTGTTGTTGCCAATAGTATAGTTAATCAACGAAAACAGAGGCCGGTATGGCTGCTGAACGATACTGAAGTGGTCGCAAAGAAAGGCGGCAAGGGGCAGTAGGCAGTTGTGCGCGAGATTTGATATCCGAGAGAGCAGCGCGGGCTGTGTAGGCCGCATAGCCGATAACGAGCATCACAACGGATTAAAACAATGCAGGATAAATATTTTCGTTTATTTTTTTTTTCTCACAAATTCATGTTAAAGTTTTGCTATATAGAATGAGCTTAGTCAGGCTCTCTGTAAATTTCATCAGCAAAAGCTACCCTGACGGAAACAAGTGATTTTTTTTTAAATCAACTAAATGAAAGACTACTTTAAAACAAACATAATGATTAAATGTTTCGAATTTTTATATTATTTTTGCTCAAAAAACCAATTTGTGTCTTGGAAGTATGAAAAAGCATCTGTGAAGTGCAGAACGAAAGCGTATTCCAACGAAACATACTGACTTTGAAGTTGTTTAAGCCAAATTCGTTTTAAAATAGTTGAGAATACATACAGGAAAAGGCAATTGACTGCTTCCTAGGACATCGCCATGTTAGTGAGAATTTCAATTAGTTATCATTGAAAATAAAGTACTTTATAAATTACTTTCAAACTAATTCAATTTCCTGCTGGGTAGTATCTAGGTAAAGTCCATACGCTCGCGTCGCTGCTTTCAGCTCGAATCGATAGTACGTGCCCCTCTTTCTGCTAGCTGCTGTCGTTTTTATTTTTTGTTGTTGTTTTACGTTTTAGTTGTTGTTGAGGTATTTTCTTGCTACTGCTTTCAATGTTGCATGTGAAATGGAAAGCTCAGATGCATACATACTACGTCATAGTGAGGGTATGTTTTGTGAAATAATCAAATACCTCCCACCAACTCGATGCTATGTATCTACTTATAGGCCTATGACGAATTCAAAATGATTGCCGAACATTAAGTCTATTAAGCTTTCTTTAACTGGCAGCATATCTGGTAATTGAGCTTCGTATTATTTAATCGAGAAATCACTCGAAGTTGTTTCGGTACAAATGATTCAAAGAGTCACTTAGAGCAGCGCCTTGTCGAAGGAGGAGGAAACTTCTATTAAGGAACAGTTATCCAGCAGATTTATGTCTCAATTATATACATACATATACATATACATATATAAAAACTTGATTTTTAGAGGTATTTTCAAAAAGGTCCAGCTCACGAAAATCTTAATATTTTTGAGAAATTTTTCGGTGGAAGTTATTTTAATTCCGTTGATAAAATGTTCAAACATTTTTATGCAGGCCGTTTAAAAAAATATTTTTTAAAGTTTTTTTTATTTAAATCTCGAATTTTGGTGTAGATAATATTTCTCCGAATTATTTTGGCAAAAGTTTTTAAATATAATAAATTTTGCAGTTCCAGCAGAAAACCCGCGACTTTTTTTTTTGGTGAGGAAGCCTAATGTATGGACATAAAAATGTATTTGCGTGCAGATATACATACAGTCATCAATGGTATTTCATTGAAATCGATTTAATAGTACATCATACAGTATATCTGGATATGCTTGAATATCTCGTTAATGATGCACAGACAATTGTTTATAATTAGTATAGACTTGTAAATAAATATTAATTCCACCGAATTTTCAGTTGTTATTTTTGTAAGATACTCATTTGCTTATAGTTATCTCATCACTATAAGAGTTCTTACTACACCCACTAGAAAAAGTGTTCGCACAGAGGCGGATTCTTTTTAATACTATTAGGTGCATTCTTTTGCAACCGAGCTACAAAAGAACACTCGCTTCAATGACGAAATACATGCAAATCAGCAACAAAAACTCGACTATTTATCAGAGAACAGCAAGGTCGGTTAAAAAATACGCGACCGAAAGGGTAGCGTTGGTGAGTGAAAAAACTGCTCTATCGTAAATAGCCAATGGGAAAGTGGAGAGAGAAATTTTTGTTTTCGTATATATGTACTTGATTTGTATTTTAAATAAGTATATATATTAGGCAAATACCCCGCATAATTACCTATTTTTATTGGTTTGTGTGTCTAACTCCAGTTAAACTAATCACATGTTTCTTGCCAGATAACAACAGGGTTGCTTAAGTAGCTAAACGCAAACTGTACTGGTGTTGAGCGTTCTTTTGTCGCTCGGTTACAAAAAAATGCAACTATTCATGTTTTTCATAAAAAAATTCGTTAATTCTTTCATTCCTTAATATAAACCATTGAAATACAAGTTTCAAACTTTGTCGAAAATTTATAAAAAGATTCTAAATTTTCTAAAAAATTTTAAACTTTATTGTCAAAATTTTTTTCGCTGACATACAAAGTATATTCGGAAATTTTTTTAAATATTATTTTTTTTTATAAAAATATTTGTTTGTTGAAAAACGTTGTAATTAAAATTTGTTTATTATAAAACAAAAGTTTTGGTTTTTTATTAAATTTTTGTCTCTAATAATATTTCTTTCGGTAAAGAATATAAGCACATATGTATATTTAATTAAATTGTAAACATTATTTTTACATGTTCGAATATTTTTGTCAACCATTGTTTGTATACATATGCATTTCCTTGCAATCTAGCAACAGTTGAGAATGTTGTTTGAAATCGTCAATGTCATAAGGAAAAAAATTGTTTTGAACCAAAGGCCCAAAACAAAAATGTTGTGGATATTTGGCCACAAAATAAACAGATAAGAAAAATAAGTTAAATATTTATATTTTACAAACAACCACATGGTATGTACTTTCGATTCACTTTAGGAAAAAGCAAACCGAAAAGAGCGATAAAATTGCAAACAGACAAAAGCGATAAAATTGTCAAAGATTAAGTCTAAAAAAATTGGAATTTATGCTTTGGCTATTCGAAGAGTTTCCATGATACGTATTACTCATAACTACATCATATGCATGTAAGTGTATGTGTGCATAAATATCCTCAATAAATATGACACATTAAAATAATGTAAGAAAATACGCGAAAGATTTCCTTCCGACCTTAGGCGTATACAACAGTTACTCGCTTTCAAAAGTAAAAAAAGTACTCAGTTAGATGTCAAGGTGTCTTGAATGTCAAATAATTTACATACATACATAAATGTATTTCTTTGTATATGCAAAGGGTGCACTCAATTGCATATTGCGTCGCAAAAATTGCATAATCGCATTACAAAACTTAGGTAGCAGTTATGTGAATTAGGGTGGCTCTTTTATTTGTATGCAAACATTACATTAAATCTAAAATAGACTAAGAACAGAAGTTTAAAGTGGAAGCATTTGTACACAGAGCGCGAAATGTGGTAATGAAGGCTTAAACAGAGGCCAAGGGTGTGTTTAGTACTATACATAAACACTAAGAAGAGGGCGATGAGAAGGCAGCATTTTTGGTAGAAACGAAATCGCCATTTGTTTTTTTTTTCCTCGTAAAAAATAAAGTAAAAGCTCAGTCACTAGCAAGGGTAAGGTTATGTTTGGTGGCAGCACTGTTAAGTGTTTACTTATGTACACATTTCTCGTATTATTCATTGAGTAACTGCTAGTTAATGTTACCTACTTTCTGCCATTTTTTTTTTTTTTGTATCTCCACCAGGGGCGGATCCAGCGGGGGGTTTTGGGGGTTAAACTACGTGTCAGTCAGTAGCGGACCCACGGGGGATGTTTTAATATGGCGCATATGTATGTATAACATGGCGTCTATGTATTAAAATACCCCCCGTCGGTCGGCCACTGACTGACACGTAGTTTAACCCCCAAAACCCCCCCGCTGAATCCGCCACTGATCTCCACCCTTGGGGCGGAAAAAATTTACAAATAATTGCAATATTAAAATTCTCTCCTTTCTTAATTTTTTCAACTTAATTTTCAAGTAAAAACGGGTAATTTGTAATTTTCACCAACTCTTTCTTGAGTGTGTGAACGGGGTGTGAGACATACATATTTTTTTATTATCACTCACCATCTGGCGTGCCTCTTATTTCTGATTACATAAATAGTCCTAAGTTATTTTATGTTTATAAAAAAAAAAACATTAAAACATTCCTATTTCAAATAAAAGTTTTATTTTTTTTATCGCATGGTACTTGCTTTAAATTAAGGAAAAGGTTTGAAAGGTTAAGAAAAAGCAATTGCTTGCCTTTTACTCATTCGGGCCATTGCATGCTTTCTATTATGGAAGTAAAAAAAGCTGTATTCGCGTAGAAACGATTCACCCTAATGTAGAAATTCAAGCGCAGAAATAGCTGTCATCTATTATTAAATCACTAAACCTCAAATTCTATATCGGATAACATGAAATAAATATGAACAAGTAAGTCTCGAATGATAAATAAAAAGAAAATAAAAATAAATGAAAAGAAAATAAAACTAAAAAATTTTAAAATGAGAGATGAAAGGTCTTTTAAAAGTTTCGAATATATCTAGAAATAAATGATTAAGCATTTGTTGGTAAAAAAGTGATATTTTGCTTATTCCAAAAATCATTGA